AATATCGTAATCTATAGATTACATCCTAGTTCCAACTTATATTACAAATGTGCGTGTAAAGATATTTAGATTCGTGTTAGTGAGACACGACAAATGGGTGATATTCATAAATACATGTAATATGTACATGTGTGTCATATGCTTAGTAAAATAGCATTCTTTGACATGTGGTAGATTCATGTTACTAAAACACGGCAAATGGGATATATTTATAAGGAATGTGGTATAGATATGTGCCATATGCTTAGTAAAACAACATTCTTTGAGATGTGGTATAACATCATTATTGTACAAATACAATATACAGGGTATGCCGCGATATTTTTTTTGTAGGTATATCCTTTATTAGATTATTCATATAGCTAAATAATCTGGGCTAACTAATTACAAACATTAACTAAACAAAGCCTGCATTATTACATCCCATCAAAAACATAAATGTGAAACGATAGCCGAGTTTAATAAATATACACAGAAAATAGACATATGCTTCATTAATTTTGTTTATATGTATTTATAATATAAAAAAATCCTAAAACAATTCAGATAAGTTTGTATTATGCATAGTCGAGCATTAGTAATTCATAGCATATATAGAATATTCAGGCGATACAGATAGATGACTTATTTGATTGTATCTATTAGTATATTTTACGAATTAATCATTTATGTATATTGATATTTATTTAAATCGGAAATTTTTTGTTTGTTAAAATAAATATATTAAAATATGAATTTGCTTTTATAAAGTATTGAAAATTATTTTGAATTTTGAAAATTCAGACACATCGTGTTTGTATGTAAGAGTAACAATCCCATAATATTTATAATGTAAATAGCATATAATAAATCAATAACAACGTAACGAAAAAGTAAACTTCATAAATCGTCCAAACAGTAAATTTAAACGTACGATCATTTTACAAACTCAACGGAAAGCAGAAACTTACTTTTACGACTTCCATCTCAAGAATTCACAAAACTACCGTAATGTTGAAGGAAATAAACTAAAACGTAACCACTATCCAGTCTGTGTGTCAAGGAAAAATCTACAAGCATAACTGTATTTAACTCAAAGATATTGCTCGCCATAAATTCACTTAGTTGCCTCAAGATCGTAAAGTTTTTACATCAGCTCGAGTTACAGTGTTATAATGCAAATGAGTTCTATAACTCTCCGGCTGGTCCCCTTAAATCTTCTCTACTTTGCACCGCAACTTAACAACCCAATCTTAGTTGATTCTGACAGTGATAATAGCATAGAAGCAATATTGGCATTCAGTGTTATGTAAGAAAAATATCTTTAATTTATGTAATATTTTCACTTATTTCAATACCACAACATTTTTTAAACCAGCGCCTCGCTGCGTCTTCGCTCCTGATATTATTGTAGAGTTCTTTATAGTTTAAAGTGAAATTTAAGTTTAAGTAGCTAGTTAGTTTAAGTAGGTAGTACTAGTTTAATTAGTTTAGTAATTTAATTTAAGTGAAAATACCTCACGTCACTTCCTGAGATATGTAGCTTAATTTCTATAGATAATATAATTTTCAAAATCGGTTTACTATTCTTTTGTTTATTTCTAATAAAAATTTAGAAATACACTTAAGCTTTTTTTATTACATAGTGAAACAAAGTTATTGTTGATACAAGAGTATGGCCAATAATGATTAAGTACTAAATCAGATTTTATTCGGGATTTTCTTCAAAGTTTTCTTCAGTTAATAAAAGCGGATACAAAGTTTCAATTTGAACGTATCTGTTAGACATACAACATACAAAAGACTTCCACAATGTCTGAGCTCCATCCCAGATCCCCGAAGCCATTCCGTTTGCGATACAATTTACCAACGAAAGCTATCAACAGTTCAATCAGATTACATTTTTCAGACACAGTACCAGGAACATCGTAGTTCTATTGAAATACAGACAGAACTTTCTAACGCATGACACGCAATCTTCTAGTAATCTTATATCAAATCTTAATCTGACATTAAAATAGTTCGTTTAGGAATTCTATTTTAAAATAAAATGTCAAGGATAATATGGGGAACTTAGTATATATAGATAAAAATAGCAAATAAATAATATTATAAAGTTAAAGATATCATATGTATATTATTTAGTCACTTATATAATTACATTTTCACTTATATAATTTTTCAGAAAATCAGCCTTCTTACTTTTTTTTACCGCTCGCTGAAATTGAAAATATGTAGAGGTTATTATATATTACGTTATACTTAATAGGAGGATATGAAATATGGCTTAAAGACAATATAATGATCGACGAATGTACTATAATACCCACAGTTGTAAATACAGCAATGGCAACAGTGGATCCTTTCGCAAATACAGCTATCTGATAATAGATTTTATCAGAGAGGGTTTTCTAAAACAAATCTGAAAGTTTAATAATGTTTATTGCTGTCAAATTTATCATATGTTTTAATTTATTATAAACACCTTCACATTCAAATTCAACATAGCAGGTCTAGCATACCGCGGTCTCTCGGATATTTTGTTATTAATGTCACCATCCCCGGGGAATGGGAAATATAAATTTGAAATACAAATTTTTTTTTGTGTCGACCTGATCGAAACTCACACTTTTTTGCCCAAATACGGGAAGGAAACCACGGGGCCGTGACGGTCTCAACGTATATTTTATTGACTACTTTTTTAGCTTTAACAATTACAAATTGAACTATCAATTTTAGGGTTACAGCATCCGCGATATTACATTAGGACAAAAACGACCGAATTCGAGCAATCAAAACGATTCAGTTTGCTTTTGTCGAGAAACTATCTCCGGTACGCCATAAAATGTTTTATGGTCAATACAAAACTTGTTTTTATAGTATGTTTATATGTCGCCAACTAAAGAATGAATGTGTTATAGTGATGGATGTTGGTAATTCTACGCATACGCATTTATGTCAATAATATTATGTTGTTAAATTTATGTATAAATGAAAATATATACAAAGACTAGTCCAATTTAAAGGATAATGAAATTACTAAGTTTTTTCTTTTTTAAGGACTTAATTCTGATTGTTTTTCACTTTTGAATATAAATAATTTTTTTTTACTCGTTAAAATGATTATATATCTAACCTATTCTGCTGAGTAAGTGTGATTTGCTAGTAGGCTCCAGTACCGTAAAAGATATTTATCAATAATTATTTTATATTTATTAATAAATTGTAATTTGAAACAAGTAACTGTTTATTAAAAATTATACGCTCCAAAAGTTGGTAGTTGGTATATATAATGCAATTCTAAAATTGTACTAAATGTATTGCAATTTAAAAAACTCGCCTGAGGAGATCAGGCATATTAGAAACGGAATAAAATTGTTAAAACAAATTATTTTTAAAATGTTTATTTTGGTTTCGTAGTTAGTCTAGCCTTAAGTAAAATAAATCTTGTTTTCTCCACATTAACATTAAGACAAATTGAAAAAGAAATTGTACGGCAAAGGAATGATAGGATTTCGCTGTCTCTTTGAGTAATCACAAGCTTCTTTTTTCGGCTGTATTTTTATTACTTCATTAGGATTAGTTAAATTGGAAACTTAAATTTTAAAGTAAGGTTCATCAAAATTTGTAAATGTATTCGAAAATTTCCACTGGGTATAAAACCCTACTTTTTATTTATTCAACAGTACGTATATATATAGTTATTATTTAATTGTTTTTAATGAAGATGTATGTTTACTTCTTTTTTATTACAGATTTATAATTTTCTTAATAAATATAAATTAATAAGCTTTAATTAGGTTGCTCAATTTCGACACATTATTTTATACGTTGGATCCTTAGTAATCACGAGGAATAAATATTAGATTTTAACAACTCTTTCACCTACCAAAGCTATATTTGCGAAATATGGATTGTATTACGAGTAGGCAGTGTATCTTTAGATACATCTAGTCTAAATTATATACAAAAGTGTAGCCGACTCGTGTTTAAATAAATTCATTAAAAGCAGCGTATCAAAGAAATAACGGGCAAGAAACTCGTCTAAATAAACGATAACAAAGAACAAACAGGGTGAACAGACGCGGCACTCAGCGCATAAAGCAATGGAACACAATACAATTTCCACCACGAACGCCTCTACACAATACGTGTCGTCCTTTTCAGGTCACTTCCAGTTGTAACGTGTTCAACAAATAATTATGCGGCGACCATTGTATGAAAAAACGTCCGCTAAGTAGCGCTAACACGACGCTTTGATTTTTAAAAGCGTCAAATAGTATTACTGGCACGGACAATGGCGATGTCAATCAGGGAAGTTTTATTAATTTCCATTTTATGAATGACATAATAAAATTATATAAACGTGGAGGTCAGGTCAAAATAAAAATTTACATAAATACGATTTAGTAACAAAATTCAACAAGTGATGGGAATTTTTAAAGTTTAACTGGTATTAATTAATGACCTTCGTAGTGTAGTGAGTACTACCTATATATTGTAGGTATAGTAAAAGTTCTGCTCAATTTGGCACTAATGTAGGATTGTAATGCTTTCACATATACATATTTATCAGATATTGTTACAAATACACAAATTTTTACTGTAATACCTAGTCGTGATATGTCGGTACTTCAAGTTTGAGTTTATTCAAAGTTTGGACAAACATTCGTGTATTGATCTCTGAGTAAACATCAGAGCGATCAAAGTCCAAATGTATACACATTTGCTCAAATCCTAGCTCCGAATGAGCACTGTTAGTGTATTTCCACCGTTTGCACGGTCTATAATGTAGATACTTTTGTTTATTTATACACATGTTCAAATGTGTACTAAAATTCATCAAACACTAGATTTGAACGTATGTCAAATCTATGAAACTAAATTATTCTTCATCAATATGTCTATGACGAAAATGTATAATAAACAACCCTTTCATTCAGATACAGTTTCTTTTTAGTTTTGTACATTTTACTTCAAAGCTAATAAAATATCTAATAGACACTTTCTTTCCTTTTCAGATGTGACCCAACAGAGCCAATGAGTGACAATTGTAAAGGAATCATACCCGAGAAGAATGTCGACCAAAATGTCGGCAGCTAGACAAAGGACGATGGATGTGCTGAAGAGTTGTTCGTGAAATTGCACAAAGTAATAGTAAATATGTCGATAAAAGCCAGTGTGGGTTAAATGAAAAGGGAAAAAATGGGTGGCAAAGGTTTAGGGGGTGAGGTGATCGGGTTCCTCCTTGCTGTGGCTTTCTGCATCATTTGCCCGGAATACGGTGAGTAGTTTTAGCACTTCATACCCTTTCATTGGAATATAAAATATTGTTTCCTATCTTCTCTAAATGGTGTACAACAAAGTGGTTATCTGCGTCTGTCTGTTTTTCTGCTTTGATCTTTAACCGCGGAAGATTTGATGTAGACGGGTTTCACTGTCACGTATATTCTTTACGGAAAAATTTTATATATAAAAATATGACCTAAAAAGTTATATATTATACATTAAAATTGAGTATACTTATTGTTCAACTTTGCACAGTAGAAAAGCCGGTTGGAAAGCTATATGTACCGCTGAGAGATGCAACTAGTGTAATATGTGGGCAAAATATAATTTTGACCGCTTTGATCAGCCAAACAATTTTTATCGAAGATGTAGTAACTTTCTGTATAATACCAACAAAGGACATCAATATCAAAATGATAAAAGAAAGTGTTCTTTTTAACATTTTATTTTATTTTAATAACATACTTAATATTTATTTTATAAGACATAATCCAGGAAAAGTAAAGTACGCTTAATATATAAAATTACAATAGGTATAAAGTAAATAAGCGAGGGAATCCTGTGCTTTGAAATAACAAAGAGGAATTAGAGTATAATTTAAACTGGACACGGAATCGCCTGAAGCACTTGTATTTGCGAATTAAAAGGATATAAATAGCAGACTATGAAATGTTGTAATTACGACTAAAATTGTGACCGAAACAGTGACTTAACATTCGGAAATAGGAATAATTTTCGTTTGCAAGTTTGAAATGCTTTGTACCTTTGTCACATGTAAATCAGAATCTTAAACAATTTCTTTTGAACTTTGCTAAAACAAGGCTTTTGAATAACGAATGTATGCACAGAATTACCGTATAATTTATAATTTTTCTTAATATAAATTAAGTGTATATATAAGTACGTATAAAAAATTATCTTTTTTTTTTATTTATATAATGAATCGAAAATATAGTGGACTACGTTTAATGATTAATTTCTATAAAACAACAATTTCTAGATTACCTTTACGAAGTCATCTAGCTCTGTCTAGAAGTAGAAGTGACAGGGGAATTACAGACATGCTTTGTGAATATTTGTAATTCCACTATCTCAGCTCAGTTCTCAGGCCTTACATACAATGTATTTTGTGATGCTGTTTATGTATATGTATACTTGCTTGCTGTATAGCTTGTTTTCCATTCCATTAAAAACAATAACCAGGATGAATTTAATTGTTTCATTGGCCAGGACGTGATGCGTAGTAAATTTTAAGTTGCAATATCGACAAGAGGCTTAATCTACGGCTTTAGGGAAAAACCAATCAATGAAAATACATTATAAAGCATCAATATTTCAACAGTAAAATATTGGCTGCTAGCAGTGATTGATTTAATATAAGTAATTGAAATGAATGGAATATTTATTCTACAGTATATAATTTTAAATTCTTATTAATTAAAAGCCATTGATAGGTATTAATAATTGTTATTATTAATATCAAATATTTCAATATAATTCGATTTTAATAATAACTAAGTACTAATCAGGAAATTTTTCTTCATATTTCATTATATTATTTATAACCATTGTATGCATCAAATAATTATTAAATGCCATATGCTTAGCACATAATTTACATTCATTAAACTGCATGGCAAGCCTTACTTAAACATTATAGGTATATTTATTATTTCCATCCCTTACATTATTTCCAAAGGAAACTAGGCATAACTTTATATAGATAATCCTACCTTTTATTAAGGAACTCGGGTTTATGAAGAATTCTTCCGTTTCACTGATCTTTAAGACTTCCTATGTAGCAAAATGTTGTAGGTATTAGTGACGAAATATGAGCCCATATATTTGCCATGTTCTGTAGATTCTTTATAGACTCCGTGTCATAAAATAGCAGTTATTATACTTATTTATATAAATAAAACATATTTTTACCCGAAATAATATTATAAAAATATAGAAATAAATTGAATAAATTAGTGTATGCAATATAACTACAACGTTTCCTGTTTACCCGAAAACGTCATCCAGCATGAAGCTGAATAATAGATAGATAGAATATTATTCTTCAACAAAGAATGAAAAGTAGCAATATTACTAGGTTCGTTTAAAGTTTAAAAAATATATTTGACTTTAAACAATCATCATTAGTTAAAGTCAAAATATAATTATAAAATCTTTTTAACCACAATTACAATTCAATCCAGCGGAAATCTTAAAAACTATTGAAGAGATTTAAATGCAGTAGGTATTCATTCATCAACAGAACGATATCTAAAGTTTAGGTATATTAAGTTTTTGAGTAAATTAATTGAAATAACCGTCCGAAGCCAGGCGATTCGCTAGTAAGATTTAAAATTAACACTGCAATGGCTTAGCAGAATCATAACAATTACACTAACTGGCAAAACTGGGCATTAAGACAAGCACTCTCTACCCCAGAGCTGCAATAACCACTTCAAACGATCTCCAACGGCATTTTTGATGAATATCAGCCGAAACACAAAAGCAACTAGTAGAAACTTTGCTTTAATTGTCTACGGGTGTTTATGTAAGCTGTTTTATTAAAACCCTCAATGTAAGCTAACAATAAACGAACAAATATAGGCCCATACTATTTTCACTTCCACAAAGAGTAACCGTACTCGCAAATTGTTCAGAAACCCAATTATCCTGGGTCGTACCCGAAATTTTCCGAGGGCATACTGCTAAGTTCCTTTCAAAAGTTAGCTAACAAATTTAACCGACACACAACTAGTTTTGTAGAGGCAAATTTTGACTCACTATATGTACCAGCAGGTAAGATATATGCTAATCTATATATATTATCTATCTAATATTTACTAGCTGAACTGAATGAAATAAAACAAACATTAAATTTTAAATGAAACTTAGCACAATACACATATACGTCAATACGCATAAAAATCAGTTATGGCGTTTCTGAGATTAGAAATCGCAACAGATAAAAATAAATCTAACAATCGTTGTTTTAGATATGACTATGATTCGCGTAGTCTTGGTGGTCCAATGGCCGGGGATTCGATTCCTCGCACACAAACATTCGTAATTAGTTTTTGTATTTTGGTATGTTATGAAATATATTTTTTTGTATTAAAATGTATATTTATATGTTCATATCTGTTGTTTAGTATCCACAACACAAGCTATTTAGATTGCGGCTAAATGGCGTTGAATAAAATGTTAAGTCGAAAAAAATAAAATTTTTTGTAATAAGTTTATAATTCAATGTCTTAAAAAATGTAATAAGTTTATCTTGGTTGTACAAATTTCCGTACATATCACATATAGGTTCAAATTATTGTATTTCAGGGTTGTTTTGCTAGAACAACTTTAATTGGGGTTAAGCAAAAGTTTGTAATTCACTGAATGCTGGTATTTCTCTCTTCAACTAACTTCATATTGACGATATTAGATCGAAAACTTTACTCAGTTCATCAATTCGTGGAGCGTTGGGATTGAACAAATAAATATATTCTTAGTATATACTACATATATATAATTTAATTGGATTACTGAAACACTATGGATAATAAGCCGAAATAAACATTGTTATTATTAGTGTATTTTTGTCTCTATATACCTATTAATATATTATATATTTCACGTCCACTCATTTACAACTAATTCTCTTGTATTGGAAAATATTGACAGCAAACCCACTTAGTCTGACAAAACTGGCATAACCCCACTGGGAGTCAACTATGACTTATTGGTACACAATTAACTAATAAATAGTTTAAATGAAATATAGAAATAAGATTAGCATACATCCGATAAATTTTTCTACCAAATATAAATTAAATTCTATAGATAGTCCGATCACGTCTTACACTGAAAGGAGGTCAGAAGTATTCCAAATGTGTCTGTAAGTAATATGCAATAAACATCCTTGAGTTTGAAAATTAAGAACTATTTTCGGTTGAGGTAAAAATGTATTTATTATGCTATAACTACGTAATAACATAGTTTAATTTATTTACTAAATACAAAACTGCCTATTATTCGTATATCCTTTATATACAACTCATATTGTCCCCTTATGTAGTCTATTATTACACTTCCAGATTAATAGCTTGGTATAGTTTTATTCCAAGATTTCCTTCTAATCATCCGATATATCGAACCCCCAGCGACGCCTTCAAACTGAAGTCGTTTCCGCACGTAGCAGTTGGCCTTCACCCGCTTTATAAGTCCTTTTGCGGAGTTGAATTGTCATCTGTACTGTGCACTTTCATATCCATAAAGGCCAGCTTCTGCCAGTAGAATTTCGGAATACGAGTAGTACGTAACTAATCACCAATGTATATATAACATATGTATTTAATTGTATAGTTTTGTTTAGTTCTCTTTAAAAATCTTCAATGTATGAATTCCGATTGATCTACATAGTGTACAGAACACGCAATTAGGAAATCAAACTTGAATATATAATAATATATATAACGATGTTAGGACGTCATAAATATGTAATACCTAATGTGTCTTTTATTACGTAGCACCGTTCTGTTTTCTTTCTTTCAACATGTCCCGTGGTGACCATAGTGTACAGAAATAGGTACCTTACCTGCTGAATAAAATAACACTCTATTTAGCCGCTCCGCCTGGCGAAGGTCGTCGTTTTTTAAATTATGCTCACGTGAACTCGAACTAAATAAACAATTCATAGAGATTGTTTTGTCTATTTTTGTTTGTATCCATTATTCCCTTTATTGCGTTTCTTAAAGTGTTGTAATTGTTCAAATGAATAATCTTGTATTGCTATCTATTTTTATCCTCTTTCGTTATGGATGGAGAAGACAGGGAGAACCAATTACGAAAAGCCTCCAACCTTAACAAGTAAGTCCTTATCCTGTAATGCCATTCAACTCCGAAGGTTACTTCTGGAACATTCTATATTTTCTTTTCATCTATAGATTCCTACTGATGTTTTTGTATATATAATTTAATATATGAATTAGATATAGAAAGTTTTAT